AAAACGGATGCTCGTTTATATTTATCCACCTACATAAACTACCGAGAAATTTGAATAATGACCTATCTATAGTTCATTATAATATGTTAAGTACGCTTCCTCGCTCTATATACTCGGAATCCAAGTCTATACAATATTTCCCAACAAAAATGTATATACATATACTCAGTTCACATCAATCCTCAAATCCCTTGCATACCTAGTCCAATTAGTATATATATAGGTTATATATATTTAGACAACTTATGATATAAATGAAGGGCCACCAGTCATCCGGACACTCACCCACACGCTGCGGTTACCGAACCGTTGATAATGCTTATGTTTTGGGGCTTTTGGGGCGAATAAATACCTACGTAAAATGTTTTCATGTCACAGTCATGGCCAATTATAATTAACGTTAATAAATAGTTCCTTGGAAATAACGAAACCGATGAACAATTGAAAAAAACACTGGCATCCGGACAATAAATCGTTATACCTCATTACGGGTGCGTGTAAAAAAAAAATGGCCAAAAAACACCATACCTATTATTATTATGGATACACACCGGTAATATCATATCACGGCCAATTAGAGCTTAAATAAATAGATTGATGTAAATATCGAAACCGTCTGAAAACAATCAAAGGGGAGAGTGTAAATAAACATAGTGAAAAATTCCTGAGCCTTATTATTATTTTAGCCTTTATTTGGATATTATGCCTGTCACGTCCAAATAAAAATATGTATGTTCAATGTTCATGTATAAGATGTTTATGACGAAATCACTTCCATTATTTAACCATTTGTCACTCAAATTAATATGAAATTTATTCAAACAAATCCTAAAAGACGAAAAAAAATAGTATGACGTATACACGTAATTGCGTTACGAGGTCATAATATTACTCTTGTTCCGTGCATCAATGACAGATATATGCCAAATGTGGATAAAATGCGGAAGGATTTAAGTGTTTAATTATACAATAAGACACTATAATAGTTGCACGGAGTACGATATTTTAACAAGTATTTGTATAACAAGTACCTATATTAAAATAATACTTAAGTTATAAAAATATAACATATTTTACTTTACCGATGATTTGGTATCAATACACAAAGCTAGGGAAGACAATTCGACTATTTTGGTACATTTTGGTTAAAGATGCATATTTTAAGTCTTGTACGTACTTCATAAAATTTTTGATTTTTGAAGAAAAAGAAATTATAGGATTAAAAACTACAGATCGTGATTTTAGCATCTTATCTAAATATTGCAGATTGTGGTAAGTTTTTCTGTTTCTCTGGCTTTTTTTAATTCTTGTTTTTAATTCCTGAGTAAATTGTTTAGCTTTTTGACTTTTATGTATTACGTGTTCGTATTTCGAATGTTTTATATGGAACAGTATTATTAAAAACAAATTGGACTGTGGAAAAAAAAAATATTTATGACGGTGGATTTACAAATTATTTACAAACGTCTAAAGTTAACTTTGACTTGGAGCCTTTCAATAGCAAAAAGTTTTGAAGCACAATTACCTTACTTATTTCGATGAGAAATATGTGCACGTATAAAAGGGCCCTGTGTTCCACTAGTGAAAGGTTATTTATTTAGTAGCGAAATGGCACCTAACGTGATAAATGATAACAAAACTTCTTTGTCACTAGAACACGTTGAACATTTAGTATTTTTATCAAAAATTATAAGTTTTTAATCAAAATGAAACAACTTTCTCTAAGTTTATTATTTATTTATACTTTATAATTTATAAACCTGAAACAGAAAACTTTTAAATTATTTGTTATTTCATTCGATTAAGAAAAAACATTCTGTAGACAATAATAGATTTTATAAACACAACAAAGAAAGTGTAGCCATAATACTTGTTTCACAAGGATAAATAAAAGTAAAATAAAAACTTCATAGTGTTCTGATTTTATCTTTACATCAATTATTATTTATTTTATTATTAAGGACCCTAGTTTCTAAACCCATCGGATGTTAAAGTGCATTTACTAGATTAATTCTAAATTATCGTATTTAAAATGATAATGTATTTAGTTTATATTAAGCGTAATATATTATATAGATTACAAATTAATAGTTTGAGGAAGTTAAAACCACCTTGATGAACAAGTTCTGACTTAATTGAGAATTCTAATAAGGAGATTTCAAATTTATTTATTTTTTCTATATTGTTCATTAGTTAATACATAATTCTAATAAACAGTACACAAAAATAATAGTGGTGTAAGTACTCTGATACCTATAGACTATAGGATACTGTTCATTTTTTTTACACCAATAAAAACATAAACGTAGTGAGACATTAATAACTTTAAACTATTCGATTAAATTCGTTTAGGTTTACTTGAAAAATAAAACACAAGCATAATATAATATGAGGATTATATTGGTGTTTAAATATTTTTAAATTATAACGATTATGGTACTTCAAATGCTATGCAACTATGAAAATAATCTGTTTATTTTGAACCCAATTTTTACAAGATGTTTGTATTCATTACTTGTGATTGAATTAAAAAAAAAAAAACAAATTATTTTATATTTATAAATAATATTATATAAATATAAATATATATAATCGTTAACTCACACTTTAAACTGATAGGTAATAGCTACTTAATTGATTTTTTAGACTAACCAAAATACTATTTACAAAAAACAGCATTCGTGTCAGCAATTTAATACATTCCTAAAGTGCTTTGGTTGAGAATATATTTACTAAAATGATTGACACAGTTCATCCAAACTGATCGGCCATAAAATTATTGTGCTTGTCGGAGAACTGTACATCTATACAAGTATACAACTACAGTGTACAGTGGTGGTTGAATTTATTATTGTATAAGAGTAGACCGAGAGAGATTTCTGAAACAATAAATAAAGTGAATTCTATATTATGTTACTTTAAATTATCAAGCATGAAGATTAATATATAATAATATATTCATATACCTTCTACTTCATGAATAATTGTGTATATTTATAATTACTCGCCAAATCTGAAAAACGTGATTTTACCAATATTTTTAAGCCGATGCGGTTTCTATATTTTGTACTTTGCGATCGGGCCTGACATAATATTTATATTCGTAATATAATTACAACGTTGTAACAACAGATTTGAACGTTTCTCGCGTGTGACGAACATTAAGGGAATGCAAATTGTTGCCACTGCGCAATGTATAATATGCGTCTATTTTATTTTGAATAATTAGGAAGGGTTGAAAACATTTCAAACTAAGGTTGATATGCACGTTTTTATATTTAGTTGTTGTACTGTGGAATGCACTCATTGTTGGTATGACGAAAACTATGATACGTGTCTTAAATTAATCTTTGTCCAGCTCCTAGATAGGACGTTTTATATTTATGGTATATGGTTGAATATTAACACCAAAAACTAATTTAATTAGTATCTCAATGTTACACATTGGTAACATTCATATTAGAGATTAAAGGTTTACGTCAGCGAAGTTGTCCACACTACTTACACTCAGACACTTCAAACCTCTTCAGAAAATTTGCTATACATTTCGAAGAATTTGTTGTCATTTCCAAAATAATGAAACAAATCATAATTGAATAAAATATAACAAAACTAAGATATTTCACCTTATTATATTGGGTAGATAGGATAATATTATGATTTTATGTGCAGATATAAAGTATCAGAGCCAACGATCTTTGTGAGGAGGGAATAAAAAAACATGAGATTAGAGTTCCCCCTCAGGAAAAAAATAATATCTGAAAAAACCAAACCATTCTGGAAATTACAGCACATAAATAACAAATATTCTAAAGAGGTTTGAAGTGTCTGAGCGTAAGTGAGAGAAGAGGACAACTCTACAGACCTGGAAGATTTAGCAATAGATAAAAAAAACCTACGTTCTTCAATTTATACACATATCGAAAATAGCATTTATTATTATTATGATTATGCGTATTATACAGAGCAAGTGTCTGTTGTTTGAAATATATTTTCATACATTAAATAAATCATTTTTTCAAATTATATTCATATAATAATCTAGTACTTTAGCACGCATAGTATTAGTATTGTTTAAAGGTATGTTGCATTATAATATAATGTAAGTGATTTGAATTTCATAGAAAAGATTTTGTTTTTGTCTTATGAACATACGAAAATCTAATGACAAAATGCAGTAAGCGTTTACGACCACAAAACAAAATCTCTTCAAGTTCAAATTCGTATGAATGCATTATACATAGATATACTATATGTATAATTTATTATGTATGCAGTTGTTTATTGTTATGATTATAATATATTATACCAAGCGTCAAGAATGCACATTCGCCGCATCGGAAGTGTATGCAATATGCACAGTGCACAATGCACACGTATATAAAGTAATATAAAATATTATGATACCTAGGTAGGGTGTTTACTGGGTATCGACATTTCCAAAAAGATATATGAGGCGTTTCCAAGACCAATCACAAATAATCTTGGTGGATGTCAGAAAAAAATAGTCAATGTGGCTGTAAGTAGTTGGCACAAAATTAGTGCACGTTTAAAAAACTTTAAATGTTTATAAACAAAAAAAAAAAGGTATTTTCTGAGTAAAAGAAAACCCTGCCCACAGTAAAATAATAGATACATACGGTACATAATATTATAATGAGTAGGTAAAAAAATAAGTGATATAATATTATATACTTGTATACAATTTATTGCACAGTACCTATACCTGCTGAAACTCGAGTTATCGAATTCCTAAAACGATATTATTATACACTCTGTATATGCACCCGCGACGACGGATTCAGGTTAACGTGCCGGCCGGCACCTGGCACCGAGGCAAACATTTATCCATCTCCCACCCGACCGCTGACTTGACGGGCGGTGTTTTGGAGGGGGTGATGTGCCGGTGGTTGGGTTTACGGAAAAGGGGTTGTGGGGGGTTGTGGCTGCCCGCGCGTCGCGCGTGGTGAAATCGGATTAACGTCATGCATGTCGGGCCGACCGGATCTCGCGACGAAAACAACCAGGGCGACGAAGACTCCGACGGAGACGCCGACGAGGACGAAAACCCGCGTATAATATCGGCGGCCGGGCAAAGTATATCCGAATTCGTCGTCGTCTTCGTCGCCATCGTCGTGATAACCACCAAGAAACATGGGTAACACCGAGAGCAATGTGGCCAGTGGCGTCAAGAAGCAGGTCGACACCTCATCATTGCAGATATACAACCTGGTCGACCTGAAAGGTTCGTATAAATTATTGTGTGTTAGACGCACTGCACAGCTGTAATATAGAAACTCTGTGATATTATCTGCCTGTGTCATGCACTATCAAACGCTAAAAAAACACACATTTCATACATGCCACTTATGTCAAATGAGTACACAGAAAATATGATATCCATCAGATGTTCCAAAAACAAAATATATATATGTCACGGAAAAACTAGCAAAGTTTAATTCAATAATTGTTATTTTAACTATTTTAAATTTTAATGTTAAAATATTTTCTTACTAAGTTTCTACGTCGTATGCGTAATATGAAGTGAGCCAATAAAAAATATTAAAAATATAATATTAATATTTCCGTTTTATCATGCATGTAATTAATCTAAATAGTAAATTCTGAACACAAAAGTGTACATGATATTATAACTTAGCTGCCTTAGATTTTAAATACAGCCGGTATGGATACATTATTTCAAAATTGAATAATATTATACATGCATTCATAGACACCTTATTATTTATTCGTTGATTTCTGTTACAATCTGATATAATAGTTTTTTTTTTTAATTATAGTTTACAGCTCTAGTCAATCGATCAGTGACATTGACACATTGTGATAATATTCCAAGGTCGCTGTTCAAAGTTTCAAAAATTAATCTAAATCTGTGTTAGGCACTTATTATGGTACTAATTTTATAATTTTACAAAATCAATATAAGTTTGTTTTGATATAAAATGTAAGTTCATATTCAAAATATAATACAATTTGTACTCAAACCCTATTTAAAAAAAAACAATTTATTACAAGTTGATAAAGCAACTAATAGCTTAACAGACAAATAGCTTAATATAAGAGCTACGGTACTGAGCTGCAGTACAGGTTACAGCTAATACTCTTCAACGTTGACATAGTTAATTTAATTCGGTCCAGAATTCATTCAATTAGAATCTATAATATCGTCCAGCGTTTTCAATATCATATTATAATACGCTCGGTTCCATGATGTTATATTGTAGAATTGCATATTATGTAAAAAGGCTTCAAAACTTTTTGCGATAATCCAAAATGATGTTGCTTCATAAAATATCTTGCCACTTTAATCGCTTATTTCAAACTACCACTGCGTTTCAACGAAATTGCTTTTTAAATAAATAAAGATTATTAACAAACTTACAAATTTAATTCATATTGCTTAACTCATTAGTCACTGTGAAATGCATACGGTATACAACTTAAAAGGAATTAATTATTATGATTTATAACCAATTATGTGTTATGGTAGGTACAATAGTACACGTTAAAAGTTTTTAGAGGAAGTTGTTTTTGTTTTTCAACAAATCACTGACTAATGTATACTATATATATTTTAGTGTTTATTTTTAATTAATTAAAACAATTTAACAAATCTAGAATATTTTAATAACTTTTAATAACAAAATGCGCTTTATTATTAGATGTTTTAAATATTTTGAACTACATTGATTGAATGTGACAATTATTTATTATAATGAAAGTTTTTAAATTAAGTTAAAACGTTATACAATTATGTAATACGTTATTTCGTAAGACGAAGATAAAGTGATATAAAATCAGTTTTAAGTTTAAAAGAAACCAGGTAACTATATTTTTTTATAGGTTTATCTTGGTCATCAAATGACATTAAATGGAACCAATGTATTTTGTCTTTAAATAAAAAAGTAATATTTTTAAGTGGTATAATTGAAAATAAATGTATGATTCCTAAGGGACTATCGTTAGTACCGGTATCTATGTAATGATCATAGCTTAAACTCTATACATTCCAGATAAATGATACATAAATATTTTATTTATTTGCACTATTTTATATAAAACTGTGAGTTAAAATAACATCAAATAATTTATTATAACTTATAAAAATAATAGTGGCTATATTAGTACTAAAACTATTATTATTGTAAATAAATAATAACACTTAAGAAATGTCTTATAAAATAAACAATACAATATAAAAGTAAGACAAATATAATGGATTTCAAAACGGTCGAATAATATTTTGTTTTCAAAAGCTTCGAGAGAGTGTATGAATATTTATTTATTTATCTAGTGAACGTTATGTTAAAATTACAATACTATAATATGACCAGCCAAAATTATTATAGTAACTGGAGATCATCTAAAGGAAATCTCATATGTTTGCTGTCTTAAAAATTACAAAAATACCTTAGTATTTTTTTTTTTTTTGTTAGAAAGAAAAATTTAAAATTAAAGAGTCCAATTTAAATTCAATTTTTTTGTAAACAACATCATATATTAATAAGTTATAACGTAACTATAATATTATTTTAACCAATGCCGATCTAATTAAACACAACAAAAGTATCAAGTAAAATAATTTCACACACCATTTTATTTCCTAAAAGAAAATTAAGTTGTAATAAATTTCGTCAACTATATTATCAATGTGTCGATTAAGCCTTAAAGCTACTCAAACGTACACGTTATACACCGGCAATAACCTAATAAGTAATAACTGTCATCGCGTCCCTCGTCCAAAGACCAATGACGGCGACGTAAGGTCCTTTATCAATTATTAATATATTAAATATAATTACAGCATGCCATCCTCTGGACCCCGACACCGCACGACCTCTACTTCCAGGAAACATAACAGGTCGTCCTGACAGGATTTTTCATCCGGAACGGGATCTAGAGTAAACTGTCTTAGGCATTCTGTAGATATTAGGCGAGACCTCTGTGACGCCACCTCGTAGACCACTCGCCAATAATTGTACCCCATAAACGGGTACTTATTATTGAGGTGGGAACGTCCTGGGAACCACGAGGCACTTGCTAGTGAAAATTATTACATTCCTGCAGGACGGGGCTTGGGCAAGTTGGTTGTTGTGGGCTTGTGGCGTGATTACAAATTATTTATTACAAAATTAAATGTCCTTTCTATCGATTTCGTTGCGAGCTGGTTTCACAGAAGAGTATATCACGTTATAATATTATATCACTTTACAGTGTAACGGTGTTATACGCATTATAATTTATTATCATACAGCTTTATACTATATTACGAATCAACTTTAGATTAGAATTAAAAAGAAAAGTATACACAGAATTAATGTTAATCTAGTTATCATTTTTCCATTATATTACACGCGTACCATTTAGTCCGGCTTAACTCCACGCCTGCTTGAGCAAAGCATTAAATATCCCTTTTATTTTCACCACCATCTTAGTATATTAATTATAAATATAAACAGATATATATTACTATTTATACTCAAATTAATCGCATACCTCGACAAAATAAACTAAGTCCACATCAAATAATAATAATATTATAATACTCGCAGGTACAACCGTTTCGTGACGTCGAAATTTATTTAGTATGATAATATATGTAATATATGGGTATACAGTCGGCATTATATTCGGGGGTATTATTAATTTAATAACGCATTGTACGGTTCAATAAAACGTCTAGGTATAGTATTTAGTTATATGTTGTACGTGTAGCGAAGAAAACGCGTACCTATACCTAACTATACAGAATTCCATTCCGTCCACACGTTATTCAATTCGACATTTTTTCTAGCCTCGTTCTCGGTCGTTAAAAATCAATATGGATTTCTTCCGACCTTTGCACAGTCACGATGAGTTTTAAATTATTTAGCCAGTATAGGTACAATAACAATCTAAAAATTGTTATTTTTTGTTCAATTAGGTTGTGGTCTTCTCGTGGATTTGATGAAGAAAGCCGTACAGACAAAAAATTTTGCCGAGCTGGATAACGCGATCAAAACACAAGTGGAACCCATGCTGTACAACAAGGGTGAAGGCAGAATGATACCGATTGCCAAACTCGTGTTACTGAGAAATCGCGACCGTTCCCGGGCAAGATGGGTCAGTGAAAAACATTCAAGCTTAACAACTTTGTTTTGTTTTACAACTTAAATTTTTTTTTTTACACAATCTATAAAAAATAAGTGCAAGTGCTGTAGTCTGGCTGATGGGTTTATTGTGTGTGGGCGAAGAGGACTTTCATTGGAAACACTTAGGTGTTGGTAGGTTGGCTTATTCAGCTAGTAGATCACTGCACCATTTTCGTTTTAAGCACCTTACTTCAGAGTCACCAGGAATGTTAGAAGCTAATAACTCACTTATGAATAGGTTGCAAATTGCAATGAATAAGTAAACAAGACTGAAATATTTTATAAAGAGTATGGCCGCTATTTGGATGGGGGAAATAAAGAGATCATTCTTTTGCTTGTGGTTAATACCTTCCTATAAATACAGATGAGCTTTAATGATTTGACGAAGACATTTAGATTGGAAAGTTTAAATATTGACATACTGTAGTTCATGTTGGAACGTTTAGCTGATCCCTAGAGCTGAATTCCGAGGGTCCACATGGGTTTAAATTGGATGCAGGACATTGTATATTAGTATTTTGATAATAACTAAGATGTAGGTGTTGTAAGGTAAAAAAGAATAGAAAATGGCAGGGTCTACTGTTTAGTGTGAATCATTCGTTGTGGAAGTGAGATACCCATGTAAGTCGTTCGGAAATAATTTATTTTTAGGGCCTAAAAATAAATTATATCCTCAGCCGGGGAGAGTGGTATGTTCTTTAGAGTGATTGTAGGGCAGTCTCTTGCTAAAAATGAATATGAGATTACATTTTAAGCGGCACAGAGTAAAAAAATTAGGGGATAAAATTAAACACGCAGGGGCCGGTAGTGTTGTATATGTGTATTTACTATTTAGTTAAACGTAAATTCGTAACAAGAGTGGGCAGCAAAAATTTTTTAAAAAAAGGCGATCTAATAAATAAAAAACGAACAGGACCTCACTGGAGTGAACAAGATATTGCTATCGGATTAATAAATCAAACATGCCACTTATTTGGATGGGTTACGTGCCGTCGATATGCTATTCGAACTAGTAATAAAGCATTAAACTTTCGAACGGCCAAACATGAATGTATATGGCTAAGAAAAAAACGAAAACTTACGAGCACTGATTTTTTCATTATTTAATGTTTTACAGAAAAATGTTATAAAGTAAAAGATTTATCGAACTAAATCTTGTAGAATGATAAATTATGGCGTGCATGTATATAATTTGAGTGTACAATTAAATATGAGATCATAAACAAAATTGTTCTAAGGTTTTTAAGTTATATTTTTTATCAAAGGTGTNAACTAAATATAATATACATAGACTTTGTTTGACAGTTAATTGTATTCAAATAAATCAAATAATAAAGCAACAGTTATTATTTTTTGGTTTCAGCTGCTGTTGTAGGGGTTATAAACTGTGGTAGGGATGAGGTTGGTTGGATGTTTTTTTTTTACGATTGTTACGGTAGGTAGCAAACACGTGTATGTGTGGCAAGGTTTTTAACTACTGGCGTGCATGTATATAATTTGAGTGTACAATTAAATATGAGATCATAAACAAAATTGTTCTAAGGTTTTTAAGTTATATTTTTTATCAAAGGTGTTAAAAGTATAACCGTGTTTGAAAATTGAGGGTGGTGCTAAGCGTTATTGTACGGTTCCAAATGGGCGATCAACTGACATTTTTAGCAACGTGCCGTGCTTTCCGTTTCCTCCCGGCGTGGCATAAGTTATATTATAAGTTTATAAAGTATATCGAGACTTGTGGAAAAAATATGAGAGATTATGTATTAAAATATAATATAATATAAATAAGATTTAATTTTTATGAAACAAAATATAATTACATCTTACTCTTGCTGGAATTTCATTAACTTATTTAATTAATCTAACATATTTATTTCTTTTAAATTTTAATGCTTAAACTATCATTATATTTTATACGAAAACAGTAAAAACTTTTGATTTTTCAAACATAGAAAACTCTTTAAAAATGAAAAAAATGTTCTTAATTTTTTGACGGTATTTATTTGTTTATATAGTTTGTATCATGCCGTTATTTCACTAAATTAACGTTTAAAGTTTAAACAGAAGGTGTGGTGTTGATACAACTTATATATATATATATATATATATATATATATAATATATATATACATATATTATCCCCATAACATAATGTTTCTCAGCGCTCTAAGCATGTCTGAGCTGTACAACAAGGGTGAAGGCAGAATGATACCGATTGCCAAACTCGTGTTACTGAGAAATCGCGACCGTTCCCGGGCAAGATGGGTCAGTGAAAANTATATATATATATATAATATATATATACATATATTATCCCCATAACATAATGTTTCTCAGCGCTCTAAGCATGTCTGAACTTAAAACAATTATAGTTCGACGACTACAACGGAGTGATTAATATTCGATTTTGGTTCATTAAAAAAAGCATAAAACTATTCTTATAACCTCTATTATAACACATTTTGATAAAAAATACGAAATCTCCTCTAAAATTCGTACGGTTTGATTATTTTCACGTAATCCATTAGGTTCTATAAGGCATTAAGGCGCCTTGTAATTGATGGAAATCTTTGATTTTTCGATTCTAATTTAATAAATAATGAAACTAACAAACTAACATATTGAGCAATAGTTAACGAAAATCATACAACGATAAAAAAAACATAAAATATCACCAACATTGATTTAATTGCGATAAATTAAAAAAAAACATTGAATGAATTAAAGTCATATTTAAAAGGTACGATATTATGATATTTGTTCGTAAATTATCAGTTAGGTTTATATAAAGATAAATTATAATTGATGATAATTTTATGGTAGATGGATTTTTTGTATATTTTCCCAAAACCATTTTTGATTTATAAATTTATAATTTGGTGACGTATTATGTATTTATGTGTTACCTACTGATTTTTCTAAATATTGTGAACGAACAATAATGATGATGTATTATTCTTCAACATGTGACTTCTATCACTCAAAAAATTTGTGTCTATAGTTAAATATTATAAAATAAATGACTATATTGATATAATATAAATAAAAACTGACTTCATTTTAAAAATAACTTCTTTAACTTTGGTCACTGGTCACTAAATCTAAAAAATTAATGAATTGTATTCATTAGTTGTACTAACAGTAATTATTTTTTTGTATTTTATATTAAACTGCAGTTAACTTTTGTCCATGGTAATTTTTAAATTCTTCTTAAACAAACATTTTTTAAGTGGTATCTCACGCAACTATGACGCTTTGTTGTATTTTATTTCACCTAGTGTCAGCGTCATCAAAAAAATGTTTTGCAAATATTTAAAATCGATTTAGCAAATATCACATCGTAAAAATACAGAAGAAATTATTTAATTTAATGATAACAAAACACTGACATTATACTAATGATATATTTCTAGAATAATGACAACAAAATACTGGAATATAACATAATATAATTGATTAAATTTAATAATATATAATTTAAATTTACCAATCTGACCTAATGGCCCTTTTAGTCAACTGTTGTAGATAAATTTGCAACTTTTTTTAATAACTGCAGTATCTATACATATTTTTTTTTATTGAACTTAAGCCCGGCGACTAAGGCCATTAGCTGTTGTAGGGGTTATAAACTGTGGTAGGGATGAGGTTGGTTGGATGTTTTTTTTTACGATTGTTACGGTAGGTAGCAAACACGTGTATGTGTGGCAAGGTTTTTAACTACTATGAACTCGGGTGGTCAGTGGTCACCCATCCTTGAGCTAGTAGCTGTGGCCCTTACTGACTCTCAGTTGCATTCCACGACTGGCAGCAGCCAACGCGCCACGCCGAGCCACCTATACATATTATTATTACATTAAATGACATTAAAAATTAATAATAAAAAAAAACCTAAGCTGTAATACAGTACCGTCGGTGTATAGCTGTATACAAAATTGATTTAAATACTAACACACCAAAATATAATGAACGACTACAGAAACTAAAAAAACTACATAAATATTTTATGCCACAATAACTTACTAAGTATTATGTGCATACTACCTAAAAATTATGTATTTAGCATAATGTGAAAAAAAAATAAACATTTATTAACAATATAGATATCACTAAACTCATAATTTAGTCTTAATTATGTTATATAATATATTTTTAATTCTGTATTAGTGTTTTGACTTATTATTATTATTATATATAATTACATTGTGCGCCCAATTATATTATATTCGTACATAAATCAATCACCGCAACTACTTCATTTTTCGTGACTAGGTACTGTAATAATAAAAATGCACCTATAGTATAAATATTTAATATACATGCTTTATGGCATGTTATAACTTTGAAGTAGGTATAAGATTAACAATAAAATACTAACACGATTAAAAAATAAAAATTATGTATTGAAATTGCTTTAAAAGCTTAAACTCAGATTTTAATATTTGATAATATTAAATTATTTTTAAACATGTGTAGGTCATAATGATATACTGAATGATCTAAATTCACTTATTTTGATTTATTTTAATCAAAGCACAGTTAGAATTGATTGATTTTTTAAAAATCCTTATTTTTTTTTAAACGCTGCCTATGTTACAATAAAGTACTTTTTTAAAAGTTTCATATTGAACTTCCTTCCTGGAAAGAAAACTCGTTTACATTATCAAATAAAACTTTTAAATAATCTTATATTTTTAGTATTTTAAAAATGTGATAGGTATTATACAGTTCAATGGATTGACCATATTATTTGTATCTGTTTATAATTTTCAAAACTTCAAAAATGCTCGTATAATGTGTGTTAGTACATACAGTTTATTAATTTTTGCGACTGAAAATTACCTTTTTTCTTTATATGCATAAAATTCGTTATATCCGTTTAATTTCAACTAAATAATTAAACTATTTTATACATTTAAAGCATGTTTGATTTTCACCTAGATAGGCATTAAAAACCATCTTTGTACTTTTGGTCTT